TTCAGTATGTTATACTATTTGATATGAAGATGAATTTTTACTTAATAAGCAAATGCGGTTAGGTTAATAAAATTTTTGTTTTTTTTCATGTTTCTTTATTCAATTATTTCCGATGATCTGCAAGTGTCCTTATATTTATGACCAGGAAGTGTATTTATAATAATAATACAATGAAACTTACAAATAATTTACAATAAAAAACAACAACAACAACAACAACAACAATAATAATTACTAATTATAAATACCTACTCCTAATTCTCTAAGTTTTATAATTGAATTCTTGTGCCCTTTTAAAGCAGATTTTCTATAATAAATAATGGCTTGGCGTTTATTTTGTTCTAAACCTAATTTACCACCAAGGTAAAGCTCACCTAATTGATACAAAGCTTGCGGATTTTCATTTAAAGCAGCTTTTTTCAAGTAGCGCAAAAATTCGACTTGCATATTAGGGTCATCTTTGACTTTATTTCCAATACAGTATGTATAGTATAATTGTGCCTCGGGAATATCTTTATCAGCAGCATCTTTAAAATATCTAATTGCCAAATTTAAATTTTTAGGTGCACCACCATATCCATTCAGCAAATAATGGCCTTTCCAATATTTTGCTCTGGGATCATTTAATACATCAGCATGATATTCAAAACATTTCCATGCCACTTTTCTTTTTTCTTGTTCGCCCTCCTTATGATATTTTATACCTTCTTTTAAGGTCAATGTACTTTCTGGAACGTTTTCTAACTGTAAAATTAAAATATTATCAGCATCAATATCATCATAGTTGGTATCATTACCGTTGGTGATGCGGTTAGCATGCGGCCTATTACTTTGCTCATTTTTACGAATTGGTTTAGCTTTTGGTATACAATATTTTTTGTACAATTTAGCCAAATTATTAAGAATATCTGAAAGATTTGAACGTTGCACAGATGCATGTAACCAAGCTATTTTAAAAAATCTATTATTAATAAATTTATTTTGGAAGTAACTCTTAATAATATTCAAAAAAATTTATACCTTTATATATTATGCATTTGAATTTTCGTTGAATTTCATTCGAATTATCAAATCGAGTCAAATCTTCACGTTTGCCATTGATAACATGTTCAGTAATTTTAACAAGATCATTACCAAATTTTTTTTTATATGGAACTTCTTGAAATGACAATTCCCAAATCAGCATACCAAAACTAATCAAATAATTTATTATTAACTTAATTTGATCATATAAATCAACTTAATTAAAATCAAAGTTGAAAATCACCTATGTACTTCACATTTTGTCGTATAATTCTGCCTAGTTGGGTTTCCTAATTTTTCAGGTGCCATCCAAGGTATAAGTTCAGTTAAAGACAATCTCCGACTTATGTCTGCATGTTCTCTAGATAGTGAAAAATTTGAAATTTTGGCAGTTTCAAAATTCTCCATAATCTTAAAAAAGATTTCGGGTTATAAAAAAATTAATGTTATCGTTGCTTTTATTACAAGAAAAGAATATAAATAAAATGTGAATTCCTACCAAAATATTCTCACATCTAACATCATGATGAAAAATAGCACATTCATGCAAGAAACAAAGTCCAGTACAAATATCATGAACAATTTTAAGTTTTTGTACCCAATTAAGACTATAATTTTCATATACAGATTTTAAATTTCCGTATTTAGCCCAATCGAATATCATTACTTTTTTACCATCAACAACTGATAAACCATGAAACTTTATGATATTATTCGAAGAAAACAATTTGGATAAAATTCTAAACTGTTTTTTAAGATAATCTTTATCTAAATTTTCTTCATCATACGGTACACAAGCAACTGGTATAACCTTATTCAAATGTTTCTTAAAAACTTTTCCATGGACTAAATTATCTAAATTATCATCTGGTTTTGGATCTGTTAAATTAGCAAGACTAATCTCATGAACTAAATATTCTGGACTATTTCCTTTGCCTTTATTCAATGCCGTAAGTTGTTCAAATATTAATTTCAAATCATCTTGTTTATCTTTTAAACTTTCTTGAATTGTACCTAGATACTATTAAAAATAAAATAACAATAAAGGAGATGAAGATTTTAGAAATTTTATATGATTATATATACGTGCGTGTATAATTATTATTATGTTAAATTACCGAATTTATATTATTAAATCCTTTTTCAATTTCAACTTGTAAAATTTCAATATTTTTAAAATTTCTTGTATTAATTTCCAAGCTTAAATCATGGATTGCTTGATCATATCTTCCTACAATTTGAGAAAGTTTTTCTTTATAAGAAATTGACTTCAAATATTTCATTGCGCCACTTGACTGTGTAATTTCAACGACAAACTCTTTAACTTCCTCTGTCGCATTTAGATAACGTTGAAGATTGACATAAAATCTTTCATCTTTAAATACTTCAACTCTTTCTTCTCGATGTCTATACAAATCATACAAAGCGCGTGATCCTGCTTCTACTCTATCGCCTAAATCTATACACATTTTTTTATTATAACGTGCATTTTCAACAGCGTTATGTAATTCATATGCAATTTTTACGACCAATTCAATTGACGGAATGCAAATACCAACTATATCCATGATTAATTCTAGTAACAATAATAAATTTTGTATAATTAAATTAAATTATTGTGTGGATAAGATTTTACGCGCGAGAAGGGTGTGTTATTTAAAATATAAATTCTAAATAAATTATTATTTTATATTTTTTTTTGAGATGATTTTTATTGAGAGGTCTTATATAAATATAAAAAGTACATGAAATACATGCATTATATTTAAAATGGATAATATAGATATTTGGTTATAGTGCGATTCGAAAATACTATTTTTAAAACATAATGAATTTTTATTTTTGTTTGTTATTTTTTTTGTTTTCAAAATAAAAGAGCCAATCATGTCATTGAGAATAACATAAAATATTGTCTAACAAAATAATCTCATTTTATTAAATGAACTATATTTTTATTATTATTTGTCATCCATTATTTTTAATTGCAATTTATGATTAATAGTTCTTATTGCGTAGTTAGTTATTTAAGAACACTCGTACGGGTCGGTAATATTCGAGGTCTGTCAACAAAGTTTATCAATAATAAAAACAACTTCTTAATAAACAAGTTTCGACTACCTTGTTACTATGTAGACAAAATTTAATTAGTAAAAGTAAACAAAATTTCAAAATCTATAAAAATAGCATCAAACAAAAGTCTTTTTCGACGTAATTTATATAGTAAACCTTATTAATAATCAAAAAATCGTCGCTGGTTTTAAAATATAGGTTATAAATCACTCTCGTACCAATTTTCAATAGAGGTTTATTTGGTAAATAGAGTTTGAAACTTTGTCTAATAAATTCTATATTTATGTTACATCAATTATATTTTTGTTGGTGACATGACATAAAATTCTATTAGGAATTTTTTAAACTTTTTCCAAATATGTTTAAAATACTATTTCATGAAGTGAAATTGCTGTCTTTAATGCTATTTAAAAAAGTAAAATTTAAATTTATTACTGATGAAATTAAGAAGGAGAGAAATGCAAAGTATGGAACATGTAACCATTGTCTTAGGTTTAATACTGATTTTGCATGGTGCAGGTCTTGTGACCCTAAAAAAATAATCAAAAAGTCATTGAGCAGTGGCAATAATGAGATTGACGAGTTCATAAAAGAAAGTGTTTTAAGTGCAACTTGGTATAAAAACCATCTTGAGTGGATTCCATATGAAAAGCTTGAAGATATTAAAGAGCTTGGGAAGGGTGGTTTTGCAACAACGTACACTGCCACTTGGTTGGATGGAGAAAAGGATGTAAATAAAAATGAGAATCTTAAAATACGCACAGGACCAGTTACAGTTGTGTTGAAAAAACTAAATAAAGAAAAATTTGTTACAGAAAATTTGATCAAGGAGGTAAAACATTATTAAATTTTTTGATTCTATGTAATAATTTAATTGACTAACTAATTTTTATTATTTAAAGCTGAGACAACATTTTAAATGCAGAAATAATTCACTTATTGGTATTATCAGATTGTATGGACTATCACAGGATCCTAATACTAAAGAATATTTTATGGTAATGCATCATGCAAACCATGGAAGTTTAAGTGACTATTTAAGAAGTAATTTTAAAAATATCAATTCAAAAACAAAATTACACATTCTTTATCGTGTCATTAGTGGTCTAGAACAGATCCATAAATTAGGATTGCTTCATTGTGATTTCCATAGTGGAAATATATTAATTGATCATAATGTTGATAATATTAATGGTGGCATGGATTATTTTGCTTTTATTTCTGATTTTGGTCTATCCAATGCAATTGCATCAGTATTTGAAGACAATCCTGTTGGAGTTTTTCAATATATGGCACCAGAACTTTTCTCTAAAAAGAAATATGCCAAAAGTGCTGAAATGTTTAGTTTTGGAGTAGTTATGGCAGAAATGTCTTCTGGAAAGCGACCTTATTCTGATATTCCATATGAAAACGATCTGGAAATTTGTTTGGAGGTTTTACGTGACCGAAGGCCTACATTTGGAAAAGGAACCCCACAAAGATACATCGATTTGGCTATGAAATGTATGCGCAAAGATCCAGAAAAAAGACCAACAGCAGAGGAAGTCAAGGAATCCATTTTTTATTGGTATAATTCTGTAAAGGAGTATCATGTTGGATACAAAGAAATGATAAAAATCAAAGAAGAATTTGATAATTATGACAAGATGATTCCAACATATGAAAAAAATGAAGGAAATGATAATGGAAACATGAGTTACATGAGTAAAACATTAACATTTGTTCCCATAGATAGTGGCGGTAATTAATTTTCATTATCTTAAAAATTTGTTTTTAATGATTATTAACCTTTTTTAAAATATACATATATAGACACATTACAATAAGAGAAGACCTTGACTTCATCACATTTAAGCTTGACTGAGGAATTAAATTAAATATTTGTCATTGTGGCTTTATGATTATGTCAAAAAATTCATTCAAAAATATGATTAATAAATTGTCCCAAAACCAAAATCACCATAAAAAAAGTTGAGGGAAAAATTAAGTATTACTAAAAAGATAGAAATTGAATTATTAAACAAATTAAATAATATCTTGGATAAATAGTGTATTTCATTTAGAATTTTTGGTTGACTAATTAGAATTAATGGTATTTGAATAATTACTTGAAACATTAAAATTAATAGGTGGTATTATTTGTTTATTGTAGAAAAAAAAAAATAAAAATAAAAGTAAGAAAATCATTCCCATGATGAAAGAGAAGTAGCAATGAAGTTTTTTTATGTCCAAAGCTTTATTTCATTGATATTTTTCAAAAAGAAAATTTTTTTTCTAAATACACCAAGTAATTATTTTAACACCACCATCAATACATTAAATTTCATTTAGTTCATTTACTAAAGTTTTAATTAAAACAGGACACTGGGTAATTATAAATGAACTATCAATCCCACACCAAAAATCAACTGAATTTGTCATCCTGGACCCATTTTAAATCTCAATATTTTATTTAACAATTTCCGCGAGTTTATATTTATGCTTTACTCTCAAAACTATCTTTTAATCATTAAACAATTTCTTATACTAAACAATATCTTCTTTAGATTTTACGCTATGTATCCTGATCACATTTCTTGGTGGGTGCCCTTATAGCCGTTTTCCTTTTTGCTACCAAGTCAGGTATGTCTCCAAACTTCATTAAATAAAATTTATTAAATATTACCTCACTAAAAGAAAAGAAAAGAAATAAAAAATAATAAAAATAATAGAGACAAATATAAAATAAGAGAAAATAATTATACATGGGATTAGTATGAATTCAGAGACAATAGAACAAGGACAAGGACAACGTTGTTTATACATCTAGTTCTCCAATTTCTTTGAAATCCTATTCTAATTAAATGTATGTAAAGTTATTTTCTAAATTCCTTCGTTTAAATTAAATCTAAGAATTAAAGGCCTGTTCCATTTTAGAATGTTAGAATATTTATTTCTCCGTTGTTTGAGATATTTTCCGTGAGTCAATTATTTATTGGTGATTTTATTTGCGTGCAACTTTCGTAAATCATTCCGATTTATTTATTGATTTCCCGTGATATGTAAAATTACTATTTTACAACGGGTCTGGTCACTTTACCGACACCCCACTTTATCAACACTCAAGTAAGATTTCTAGCTCAAACTGTTTCTCAAAGCTCAAACTATTTTGGCAATTTGGACTTTTCAACGTTTTTTATATAATAAGGGTGTGATTTAACATTCCAAATCATTACTCTTTTTTTTTCATAAAAATTCAAGAAATCATGTTTAAAAGTATTCAAATGCGAGAGAAAAGGTTTAATTATTTTATTTATTTAAAAATTAAAAATAAATTCATTACAGTTATAATAAACCTAATAAATGTTAATAAATAAATTTAATAAAAACAATTAATTAGAAAAATAACATGAAGTCCGAATATGCAATTTTTATTTCGTCAGACAAAAAAAAATAATATTATACATGTATCTATGTTGTATTTTTATGAACTGGTTTTTGATGCAAAGTAAGGATAATAAGTTGTGTTATTAGTTGATGATTTGTAGGGCAAGATCAACAGTTGATTTAACTTATCTGTAAAAACCAAGCTTTTAGCTTCTACACAGAATCATCCAAGTTGTTGATAAAGTGTCCTGTCGGTAGAGTATCTTGTCGGTAAAGTGGTTGTCGGTAAAGTATCCTGTCAGTAAAGTGGGACGGGACCCATGAAAAAAAATTTATTTTATTTTTAGAAACAAATTTTTCATTTATAATATCATTGTTGTACCAAAGATGTTCGCGTAACAATTTGTCACGCGAACGTGTCCGCTCATTTCCTTAAATGTCCCGCCTGGTATACGTTATTCAAAATTAACTAAAATTTTGTCCCAATTTTTCTACTTTTAGTAATAGTAATAGAAAGAGTGGATTGTATTGTGTTTAAAACACAATGCATGGTTATACAAGAAACACACAAGTGTGTTTAATTTAAAGTACAGAATTGTGTTAAAAGCACAATAATGTGTTGAAGTCACGAAAGAATGTGGAAAACATAATAAGTTCCTCTATAATAATAACGGATCATTAGGATTAGAAAAAATATCCATTATTATTATAGAGAGAATCTGGACAGAAAGTCAAAACTGAAATTAAAAGTTATATGTCAAAACTAAATCAAAAGTCAATAGTCAAAAATCAAAACTAGTTTTGACTTTTGCATGGTTGCAAAACTCTCTAGTTTTGGAACCAACACCGGTGACCGTGTAACATGCTAATAATATTTTTGTTGGTGGCAATTATATAAATAATAAATAATAATAATAATAATAAACATATAATCTGTTAGGATTTCAATTTTCGTTTTTTTTAAAATTTTTTTCTTATTGACTCGAAATATGTTTAAAATACTATTTCATAAAGTAAAATTACTGTTTTTAATTCTATTTAAAAAAATAAAATTTAAATTTATTACTGATGAAATTAAGGAGGAGAGAAATGCAAAATATGGAACATGTAACCATTGTTTTAGGTTTAATACTGATTTTGCATGGTGCAGGTCCTGTGACCCTAAAAAAATAATTGAAAACTCATTAAGCAGTGGCAATAATGAGGTTGACGAGTTGATAAAAGAAAGTGTTTTAAGTGCAACTTGGTATAAAAACTATCTTGAGTGGATTCCATACGAAAAACTTGAAGATATTAAAGAGCTTGGGAATGGTGGTTTTGCAACAACGTACACTGCCACTTGGTTGGATGGAGAAAAGGATGTAAATAAAAATGAGAATCTTAAATTACGCACAGGACCAGTGACAGTTGTGTTGAAAAAACTAAATAAAGAAAAATTTGTTACAGAAAATTTGATCAAGGAGGTAAAACATTATTAAGTTTTTTGATTCTATGTAATAATTTAATTGACTAACTAATTTTTTATTTATTTAAAGCTGAGACAACATTTTAAATGCAGAAATAATTCACTTTTTGGAATTATCAGATTGTATGGACTATCACAGGATCCTAATACTAAAGAATATATTATGGTAATGCATCATGCAAGCAAAGGAAGTTTAAGTGATTGTTTAAGAAGTAATTTTAAAATTATCAATTCAAAAACAAAATTACACATTCTTTATCGTGTCATTAGTGGTCTAGAACAGATCCATAAATTAGGATTGCTTCATTGTGATTTCCATAGTGGAAATATATTAATTGATCATAATGTTGATAATATTAATGGTGGCATGGATTATTTTGCTTTTATTTCTGATTTTGGTCTATCCAATGCAATTGCATCAGTATTTGAAGACAATCCTGTTGGAGTTTTTCAATATATGGCACCAGAACTTTTCTCTAAAAAGAAATATGCCAAAAGTGCTGAAATGTTTAGCTTTGGAGTAGTTATGGCAGAAATGTCTTCTGGAAAACGACCTTATTCTGATATTCCATATGAAAACGAACTGGACATTTGTTTGGAGGTTTTACGTGGCCGAAGGCCTACATTTGGCGAAGGAACCCCACAAAGATACATCGATTTGGCTATGAATTGTATGCACAAAGATCCAGAAAAAAGACCAACAGCAGAGGAAGCCAAGGAATCCATTTTTTATTGGTATAACTCTGTAAAGGAGTATCATGTTGGATACAAAGAAATGATAAAAATCAAAGAAGAATTTGATAAATATGATGAGATGATTCCAACATATGAAGGAGATGATAATGGAAACATGAGCTACACAAGTAAAACATTAGCATTGGTTTCGATAGATAGTGACGGTAATTAATTTTCATTATCTTAAAAATTTGTTTTTAATGATTACTAACCTTTTTTAAAATATACATATATAGACACATTACAAGAAGAAGACCTTGACTTTACCGTATTTAAGTTTGAGGAATTAAATTAAATATTTGTCATTGTGGCTTTATGATTTAATAACAATATAATGTCAAAAAATTCACTATTGACAACAACACCAAAATATTATTAATAAATTGTCCCAAAGCCAAAATCACCATTAAAAGTTAAAGAAAATACTTAAAAGATGGAAATTGAATTATTAAACCTATTATAAATTAAATCATATTTCATTTAGAAATTTTGAATGACCAATTAGAATTAATAATGAATTACTTAATAGAAAATTGTACTTATTGTAATAAAGAAATAATAAAAAAGGTGACAATGATATTATCAGTTTATTGAATAAATCAAATCGTTTTTTTAGGAGAAAAAAGCAAAAAGTAAAAATTTTAATTAGAAAATCATAATTCATACAGATGCTAAAATGAATTATGCAATGATTGTAAAGAAAATGGAAATTGAGAACATGGTGACTGATTATGGAAATATAGAAATAGCCAAGTTTCTTTATGAATGCAAAAAATATATACATAATAGTTATAATATTGAATGGATTCCCTTTGGTGAATTCGAAGAACATTAGCTAAAGGTGGCTTAGTGAAATTCAAATTAGTAGTTGTATTAAAAAGAATATATAATTTTAGTAATAATTTTTGATATTTTAAAAGAGTAAATTTTTAAATATTTATTTACATTTTTTAGTTAGAATTACATGAACAATTAAAGGTAATCTTGATGGTTGTTATGAAATTTGTAACAGTTCTTTTTCGTTAATTACGATTATGTAATGTGGCACAGTAATACGAAATTTATTTCGCGTAACGCGTTAAATTAAAACGAAACGTACAACTTTATTTATATATATTATCATTATATTGCTCTTATATTATTATTATTTATATTATTTTCTTATGTATATGAGTTACAAATTAAGTGCTGCGGCTTTCCGGGAAGTTCTAAGATATTATTTTTATTTATTTAATTGTAATATTATTATGCATTTTTGTATAAAAAAGATAAGCTTTCGTAATTAATAAAGAATAACTTGTATAACTTGTATTATTTTTAATAATTAAAACCATTATATAATACTTTGACATAAGGAAAAAGGGTTTCCTTACAAGTTGGTAGCAGCGGAAATTATATACACACACATACTTTTACACACTCATACTTTTATACACTCATACTTTTACACACACACTTTTACACACATACTTCTAACAACTCTGTATGAGTAACTTTTGTAATATATTTAGGGAAAACAACACTGACAGTGACTCTGACGAAGAAAACTCTCAAGAAGAAAACTCTACTATTTCTACATCACAACCAGGAAGAGAATTAGACGAATCTGACATTTTAAATCAACAAAGAAGAAGGGTCCAACAACCAACTACACAATTAAATACAACGCCAGTCATAGGATCAAACAACCAATTTACTAACCAATCTATTACAAATAATATAGAACAACAAGTAACAACAATGGATGCCACTCAATTCAATCAATTAATAGCAGCATTAGGACAACTCACTCAACAACTTGGTAATCAACAAGGCGGAAATACACCACCTAGGATTGCAGTACAAATTCCGATTTTTAAAGGAGAAACCAAAGAGAATGTAGCTACATGGTTAATGCAAGCTGAAACAATTTTTGCTGCTCAAGGAATTAATGATGTTGCAATTCGTTGCTACTATGCTAGTACTGGAATGAAAGAAGCTGCATTACATTGGTACCTAGCTCGAATGACAGAACATGGAAATAATACTGGAGTGGGTATAACATAATTATGTTATACCCACTTGGTCTAGGTTATACAATTAGGTTATACCCACTTTGAAGTACGACGAGTTCGCGGATGCGTCGTACCTGGAAGAACGATTGGTTTGCATTTGCGTCGTACTTTTTGTAGGTTATGGCATTGTTATTACGCAGGTTATGCCGTCCGACATGCGACTTGGGGTAATGGCTGATTTGAGTTTGATTCGTAATTTCAACCACTTGTCTGGCTTTTTTATTTTTTCCCATATTTTTAAACCACTGCGCCGACTTCGATTCCCGCTTTGGGTCCCGATTTGTATTACGATTGGTTTATGAATTCGTCGTTATTTTTGGGCCCCGCTTTGGGTTACGATTGGTTTATGGATTCGTCGTAATTTTTAGTGATCGTTATGGACGTCCATAACGATGGACTTTTGGTGACGCTATTGACCACGTTTGGCTTCCGATTATTACCACTACATGCTAAGCACATCCCGGCCACACTCGAAGGTAGTCTGGTTCGAAAAATTGGCCACGTTTGTGCCAGCATTTGGATGAAAAAAATATATGCCCGGTATTGATTGCGGGTTGATGAACGGAGTATATATTTTAGTAGGCGTCTAATTTCTGCATTTTCAGACTCCGCTATGTAACATTTGTGGCCATCGTCAACATGTGTGGACGGTCACCTATAAGTACCACTCTTGGAAAGGTGTTAGTGGCGTTTTTTTCTTGTCATTGAAAAATCTTTGGTGACATATCATCTTTGATGACATCTTTGGTGACACATTCTCTATCGGAATTCTAAGTTTTAAGTTGTTTTATTATCTTCTTTATATCTGTCACCAAAATCACTAAAAATAAAGAAGATATTATAGGAAAAAAAAAACGAAACTCTTTTCTATGGTATATGATATACCTAATAAAAAAATAAAAATAAAAAGATGAAAGCGACGAAAAATTTTTGAATAAAAAAAAATAAAAATAAAAAGCTGGAAGTGCCGAAAATTTTTTAGTGACTTTGGTGACTTTGGTGACACTAGTCGAGAACAGTTTCTTTCGTTCTCAAAGTTCCAATAAGTATAATATAAGTGTCACTAAAAATTTTGTAAATCCGTCACCAAAGATCTTTGGTGACATTTTCTAGGACGGATTCTCTTTTATTTCAAATTCATTCTGAGCCAGTTTTGTTAGCTTTTTCCGGTGATAATGATCTCTGACTCGATACTTCCCAGAATGATCTGTACAAAAACCATAATCAGAATAAGCTCTTTCGCCACATTCTGAGCAAGGTAGATATGCAGGGGAATTCCTATTAACTTTACATCCCTTTGGATGATAACATCCCCAGTTACATTCCCCGCCAGTTCTAAGAATATAAGGACAACGATAAAATGCCATACCTAAAAATTTTATAATACGATTTTTTAGCGGATCTAGTTTCACTATTAATGTGTATATTTTATGTCTAACACTAATAATTCTAAATAAATAATTTTAATTTGAACTTTATTATAACATATATTATACTTTCAAATTAATATAAGTTATACTTTCGAAATAATAAAAGTAAACTCAACATGAACGCAGAAACCCAAAACAACGGCACAGAAAACGGCGTCCATTGTGAATTACATATCTCGGAAAGTAAAAAAGCAGGTCAGGTATTTCGATACAATGGAGAGGATTATTTACCAGGTTTACCCACCCGTAATGAAATAGTTGCAGAAAATGATGACGGTTTAACAGCAATTCTTAAACAAGCTTTGGCTAAGCAAGAAGATATACCATTTATGCCGGTTGATGTTGAAGAATCCAATGGATATATAAACAATATCCCTCATTACGTTTTACGTTTATATGGCTCTCTCATTAATGGCCAGAAAGCAGTTGTAACAATAACCGGTATTAAAGTATTCTTTGATATCCGTATTCCCGATGATAAAACTATTGATGTATTCAAGACTGAAATAAAGGATACATTTAGAAATGGTAAAGATGATGAAGGAGAAACTGTAGACACAAGTAAAATTCGGATAGAGCACGTAAAAGCATTCCCTATTTGTGGTTACCATGCAGAAAAAAAGTCGTATCTTCGAATTTACACAACCACCACTTTTCAAAGAAAAATCGCTCTGAATATTATTATAAAATACAATTTAGAAATCGAGAATTCCGATGTTGATAAACACAAATTGGAAACCGCCTCAGATGACAAAAGCGCATATTATCGTAAAGTTGCTCGCGAATATAGAATTTCACTTTCTGGATGGGCTTTAATAAACAACTACGAGTATAATAATAGTAGACTACCCTACAAAGGACGTTCTCATCTTTGTTCACATGCTTTCTATACATCTATTAATAATTTTAACACCGTGGAAGATCCTTCGAAATTATATAAAACTTACCCTTCTTCAGCCATTCTTCATGATCGGACATTAGTTCTTACCTGGGATATAGAAATATATACAACACGTGGATTAGAGCATGTACCTAAAGCGAAATATAAAGAAGATAGTATATTTATGATTTGTATGACTGTCCATTGGAAAGATGATCCGAAACCACTGAAACAGGTTTGTCTTGTCGATGTAGAAATTGCACCAGATCCAGTTTGGATCACAATTGTTTGTGGAAATCAGACGAATTTACTAAAGGCATTTGCATTATGTTGGCGGGGATTAGCTCCTGATATCGAACTTACATATAATGGTTCCCAGTATGACTGGCCATTTATAGTAGAAAAGGCTTCTCAATTACAAATTCTTGACTGGATGTTTACGCAAATGACAGGAAACCCACGCCAGAACACTAGTATTGATGGTATTCTTCGTTGGAATTATTATGGAGGAGTAGGTAATCCTTCCGATAAAGATTTCTTCCATGAAGAGCAATCATGGACCAGAAATTTTGGAAAAAAGAAAGATACAGATAATAATAGCGAAGCTAGCACGGCTAAAAAAATCAAAAACCGGGAATGTGTCGAAATTAAAATCTCTTCAGAAAAAGAATTCAAATCCAGTTTCCTTAAATTTTCGGGTTGTGTTCCAATTGACGTGATAGTATGTTATAAAAAACTCCATCCCCAATCTGAGAAAAATTCACTTGACTATTACTTAAAAAAATATGATCTCGGTAGTAAAATAGATATGCCGATAAAAGATATGAGAATTTATTATGAGAAAAGCAAGAAAATTACCACAACTGAAACCAGTAAAAATATACATAAGATTGCAAAGTATTGTATTGTTGACTCTATATCTTGTCAAAAACTCATGATTACTCGTAATGTAGTAAATGATTACAGAGAAGTGGCCTCTATAGCTTATGTATCTTTATTTGATTCACACTATTACGCTGGAGGTATGAAGGTACGTAACCTCTTAGGTGCTGAAGCATGGAAAAGAGATATATTGATTACTATGATTGCTTCTAAACAAACGGAATCTGGAAAATTTCCCGGAGCTTATGTATTTCCTCCAGAAAAAGGTCTGGAAAATAAACGCCCGGTTACAGGTTTGGATTTTGCTTCTTTATATCCAAGTATTATTATGAATTATAACCTCTCACCGGATAAAATGATTTCAACATCCGAAGAAGCCGATACACTAAAGGAAGAAAAAGAATCTCTTCATGAAATCGAATTTCATTTCAATGACCGAATTTTACGTGCCTGGTCTATAAGACATGAAAATAAAACAGATAAAAAAGGATTATATCCAGAAGTTTTAGAGGATCTTCTTAATAAACGAAATAAGATGAAGGTTCAATTAGAATTGCTTCGTAAGAGAAAAGACTACATGAAATTAGTAATTAATAAATTAAAAGAGGAGAACTTATCAGTAACAGATTCTATCAGTCATATCTTAAAAAATTCAAAAGATGAAAAGAACCATATTATGCTATCTGAAATTCTAATTCCTTTCATTAATGAAAACCGTACTGATTTTATGAAAGAATATGATTCGGTTTGTTTCAATTACAATTGCTTAGATTCAAAACAAAAAGCAGTAAAATTGTATATGAATACCTTTTATGGCGAAGCAGGAAACACCCTTTCGCCTTTCTTTAAACGAGAACTTGCTGGAGGCGTTACATCAGCCGGGCAGTATAATATCAAACTCGTTGCAGAATATGTAAAAAAGAAAGGATTTAAAATCAAATATGGAGACACCGATTCTTTATATCTAACTTGTCCCGAAAAAGAATATAAGGAATGTGATCTCACCTATAATAACGGTAAAGGGGCAACCTCAAAGCTAGAATATTGGTCCAAAATGGTTGAAATCACAATGGATGTAATGAAAAAATTACGTGATAATGTTAATACATATCTTAGATTAAAAAGTAGATCAACTTATCTTAAAATGGCATATGAAGAAGTTTTATTTCCAGTAGTATTTACCGGAAAGAAAAAAATATTTTGGAATTCCGCATGTAGATGTCCCAAACTTTAAACCCAAAAAACTATTTATAAAAGGTATAGATACCGTAAAACAAGGCCAATCTAAGCTTTTTAGAGATATTGGTGAGCGAATCATGTGGGAAACTATGGAAATAGAGAACACTAGAACGTTACATAAAATCATTGAAGATGTTATCAGAGAAGCAATTTTAGATCCCAAGCAATGGAAATATGAACAATTTATCAAAACTTATACATGGAAACCCAATGTACAAAATCCACCAGTTCAGCGTTTCATGAAACGAATGAATAAACTTTACAAAAATAAAATTCCTGATCCAGGCGAACGCTTCAACTATGTAGTAACCAAGGCTGATACAGATTTCGATTTATCCGGTAAAAGGTTGCATCCAACTAAAGGAGACCTAATGGAATTTGTTGATGTAGCAAAGGAACTTGAAAAGGAGTTAGATTACTTATATTATTTCCGGGATGATATTGTTGGACTTTGCGCTCGATTTATCATGTATGACGATAGATACCAACCATCCTCTTCTGATAAAATTATGAAACTTGAAGATCCGGATGAAAAATATAAACGGATCGATGATTATTCTCAGAAAAATGGCTCGAAGAATATGTAAATGGATTGAATGGGGTTACTCCTAAAATGATATCCGGTCGTGGACCTGCATATAAACGTGCTTACAAGAATGCCGTTAAAAAAGCACGAGATATATTACATCAGGAGATAGGCGATTCATATGAAATATTTCATGGTAATTGGTTATCTTTCGAATACTTTAAGGTATATGATCCTGTAGAAATATTATGGGAAAGGTTTATAGAATATGCGAAATCATCTACACAAAATAGTGAAACTAGCTCCGCTAAAAACATCTCAGTAAATGACAAGATAAAAGAATCTATATGTTCTGGTTTTGTGAAACACTTGGACACGTTAATTAAAATCATTGAAAAATATGATATATTCTTCCATAAGTTAGTATATCATATGCGATATAAAGAGCACATTTCTATACCTGAAAAAATCGGTACACCAGAAACTATGAGAAAAAATGAAATGGTAACCGAGCGACCCACTTTGCCATGCATATTAGAAGCTGATCGACTACTACTTGACAGTTTTCTAAATACGTGGAATAAGGGGATTGATTTGATATAAGCAGACTACCATTCTCGATATTGTAAATACTTAATTATATTTTCTATACATTAAAAATTTTTTAGATTCAAATAGATAATAAATTTCTAGTTATTCGTTCACGTAAAATCCCGGTTTCACTTTTTTTATTTGCATTCAATATAGGTCAAATAAATCTAACCAATATAACAATAATAATCAATAAAGTAATCATCAGCCATGGAATTTTTGGCGAACCTAAAACGCTTGCCATAGCAGGAATTGCTTCTATTCCTCCCATTGAAAGCTCGGAATTCGATTTATCCAAAGAGGAGTTGGGAACGTTTATCTGTTTTGCAACTTGCGGAGTTACATTTCCTTCAGGATTCATATTCCTCATTGGCTCGATATTTTGTAACGTGTCATCTTTACATGAAGAATCGGTATCACCTATTAAATTGGATAGTTCTGAGTTTACTTCTGGCATTTTAGTCGTGTTAGCTTTGCTAGTTTTTTCTAGAATATCTTTACGTAAATATTTACGAAGATTTTTTTCATCCTGAGAATTCATTTTGTTTTCTTGAGGATCATTACCTCCAACAATTGATTTATCTGATTTTAAACGTTCCACCTCACCGATTTTTAAAGATAATTCATCTTTCATTTGCGCCAATTCATCTTTTTTTTGATCCAATTCATCTTTTGTTTGCTCCAATTCAGTTATTTTAGACTGGAGAGAAAATATTTCGGAATCTTTTAGTAATGATCCCTTCTGGGCTGAAAATAATTCCTCTTTCAATAACCTTATTCTAGATTGGAGATAATTCGCCTCTTCCATTTTTTTTTGGGATAAATCTAACTTACCGTTCAATGACTTTATTCTTCCCCGAAGCAATATTATTTCATTTGTCTTTGCAATAATTTCGGCTTTAGAATCCGCAAGATAACGATCCTTCTGAGTATTCCTAGAAATTAGATTAATATTTTCACTTCGTAATTGCTTATCGATATTGGCAAATTCCAAAGCCTGGGTACGTAAGTTCTGGAGTTCATTATTATTTTGTGTCAATTCACGATTTAAATCTTTTCTTTCTAGAGACCAAGTCTTTCTTTCCCGTTTGAAACTTTTCTCTTGATCGGAATACTTTTTCTGTAATGCTTCATTACAATCATTTAATTCAGAAATGGAATTTACACTACGAGATAGAAATTCTTCAAGTTCTTCTTCACGAGCACTTCCAAGTCGATACCCTTTCTGTGGAGCTGAATATTTTGTATCTGGATTGATGTCTTGCAAGGTAAATACATTGGCCATATAATCAAATTCAAAATATTGATTGGAAAAAGAAATATATTTATAATTTCCGGTAATAATTTTCAGTAATTTTCGATAATTTTCGATAATTTTCGATAATTTTCGATAATTTTCGGTAAGATTCGATAATCATTAATATTAATATTAATTTTCTGTTATATTCGGTAATTTTCGATAATTTTCGATAATTTTCGATAATTTTCGATAATTTTCAATAGTTTTTTATAATTATAAAAGAAAATTGAATGTATAACAGTGAAATATTACCGTGCTGGTACACCTTATTTACCACCAGAAGCAATCGAAGAAATCATTCAATCTAGAGGGAGTATTAAAAATGCATCTAAAACAATGGCAGATAAATATAAAACGTCAACTCGCCGAGTGTATGAAATTTGGAAAAGACATGCCAAAGGTTTACCATTACGCAAACAACAGATGATATATTCCAAATCGGATTTACAGAACAATAATTCTTTTGATATGCAAATAAAAAAGGAATTCAAACCCGTTCATATTTCTGAACCAATTCCCAATAGTGCCCCATCGTCAATCAATTCTAACAACCTTATAAAAAACATATCTAATAAACTTAATTCTACTTCAGATATTATCTCCCGACTTAAGCAAGAAGAGAAAAGAAAAGAAAAGAACTTAGCTAAAAATCGACATCTATTATCTACCAACTAGTCTACCTTTTATTTATTTCTAGCAAATCAAATGCAATCTTTTCTTTGTAGGTGGATCTTTGATCGTAGAGCATCGTTGTAGTCATTAAGTTCGGTAATGGATCTAAGTGCGTCATATAAATTTTTTTCATATATCTCACAATTTACGCATTTTTTTTTAATGTGTCTAAATTAGTGTTGGTTTCCAAAACTATTTTGACATATCAAAACTAGTCTAAGATTAAAGCATAGTTTCAAAACCTATGTCAAAACCCAAAACCTATGTCAAAACTCAAAACCTATGTCAAAACTCAAAACCTATGTCAAAACTCAAAATTCACTTAACATCATTTAATATCTAAATTAGTGTTGGAAACCAATGCTAATCTAATGAATAGAAAGCAGAAAATTAATTGTTTTTGTTTATTACAGTTGGTGATCAATATAAGAAACAGTTGGCTTTGACAAAAAACTTCACTATTACATCTTATAAGGTAATGAGAATCATTGTATTTCTCAATAATATGTGGGCATACCTAAACAAGGTCATGATTTTCTGAAAGTACTAGACCTCTAGTGACTTCAATTAAGTTGTTACTGGCACACAGTCCAATTCAATTAGAGATTTCCACACTATATTAATACTGTTACCAGTGCATATTTCAATATAATCATCAGGAAATTAAAATGTGTTATTCATATATAGCAGCTAATCTAATGAATAGAAAGCAGAAAATTAATTGTTTTTGTTTATTACAGTTGGTGATCAATATAAGAAACAGTTGGCTTTGACAAAAAACTTCACTATTACATCTTATAAGGTAATGAGAATCATTGTATTTCTCAATAATATGTGGGCATACCTAAACAAGGTCATGATTTTCTGAAAGTACTAGACCTCTAGTGACTTCAATTAAGTTGTTACTGGCACACAGTCCAATTCAATTAGAGATTTCCACACTATATTAATACTGTTACCAGTGCATATTTCAATATAATCATCAGGAAATTAAAATGTGTTATTCATATATAGCATGTGATAAAAATAACATCAGGAATATTTATTAATATAGATTATTTCTATTTTTATTTTTATTATATTTTATTTAATCTATTATTTATTTTTATTTTTATTTTATTTTATTTTATTTTTATTTATCAATAACATGTTGTGAGATGAAATATCCGAGTCTCACACAAATCTCTTAAATTTATTTATTTTGATATGCCAACAATGTTAATACAATTTCTTTCTAATTATTTATACTAAATCCTAACAAACAATTTTCGCGAATGTATATTTATGCTTTACTCTCAAAACTATCTTTTACTATCATTAAACAATTTCTTGTACTAAGAAATACTAAACAATATCTTCTTTAGATTTTACACTATGTATCCTGATCACGTTTCTTGGTGGGTGTCCTCTTAACTGTTTTCCTCTTTACTACCAAGTCAGGAACGTTTCCAAAACTACTAAATAAGTTTATTAATTATTACTACTAAAAGAAAAGAAAAGAAATAAAAAATAATAAAAATAATAGAGATAAATATAAAATAAGAGAAAATAAGTATGCACGGGATTAGTATGAATTTGCTGTTATAAGTAGATTTATTATCATTACAAAAATATAATATTCGAAGACAACAAGGACAAGGTCAAGGACAAGGACAAGGTTAAGGACAGTGTTATTTATTATTATGAAGTAAAGAACTTTTTTATGAAGTTAAAAACTTAAAACTTAATTACATGAAAGAGAATTTTACAATGTTATTTATACATTTTAAAAGTTCCTAAATAATACTAATTAATGTATCATTTGATCTTTCTGTTAAGAATCTATTTCAAATTATTTCTTAGTCAACGTGAGTCATTAAAATTCTTGGATTTAAATATGATTCTCAGATTTAATAATCTGTTACACTTTGGATTGTTAGAATATTATATTTACACTATTTGTGGTATTTTCCGCGAGTCTATTATTTAATTGATGATTGAATAAAAATATGAAATTGGACTGGTTTAAATACTTGATAAGTTTTTCCGACTTTATTTGCGTGTAACTTCGTAAATCATTTCCGATTTATATATTAGTTTCCCGTGATTTATAATTTACTATTTTACAGTGTATAATTATTTATTATCATCTGAATTTGTGTTACGTTTTGTGTATTTATTATTAATCAATTCGTATTTATTTAACTTTATTTAGTAGAGATTAATGACAATTCTCCCGGAATGGGCGGAATCGCTCAAAACGGGTGGATTTGCCCAGGTACAAAGTGAGCGAATTTGTGCAATCTGAGCAAAAATGCATAATTTGAGCGGAATCGCCCAATTCAGGCTAATATGTAAATGAACATGTATATAAAGAACTTGATTTCGACCTAATGTAAAAGTAACTTTATAACAAGTTAATTAGTTTCATCTAAGGAAATGACTTTCTAACAAGTTAATTAGTTTCGACTAAATAAAACTAAATAATAAAATAGAAATATTTTATTTAAAACTTTTATCTTTTTAAACAAAATTATTCGCTAATACCAAAATCAATTCATTGTTATCACCAATTAAAATTAGATTTGGATGCTCTTTTTGGCCGAATTTAACTAATTCCGAAATTCTTAATTTTTATTATTATTATATTTTATTATTTCTATTTTTATAACCTTATTTATTAATCTAGTATTATTTTATCCGTGTTACATCTATTTTCGTAATACGTTTTATTAATTATTTGTTGTAATTTATTTAACTTATTTAAGAAAGAATTGTCTTGGGATATCCTCGCAATTTTGAGATATCTGCGCAACTTTGAGATATCGTCACAATTTTGGGATAACTTCTCAATATTGAGAAATATCTCAATTTTGGGAAATTAGAATTACTAATTAATTAATTGAATTGTATATAAGGAGCTTGGATTGTAAAGTAACTTTCTCACAAGTTAATTAGTTTCGACTAAGGAAAACTTTCTAACAAGTTAATTAGTTTCGACTAAATAAATAAAATAGTAATATTTTATTTAAAAATAAAAATAATTGTTATCACCAATTAAAACATGCTCTCCCAAAATTTAATCAGTGACACTATTACATAAATAAAGAAATAGTCTAAACATTATAGTTGAACAAATTATTTTATTTATTTTACTATTTAAGTTTAGAAATATTTGGATAGATGAGATTATCTGTATTTTCTTATCATTATAAATAAAAGATTATTTTTTTTAAAAGAATAAATGATAACATATCTTTACCACAGTTTAAAAGTATTTGTTCTATTTGTTTGTGAGAAAGTGTTAATCCATTCTGAAGTAATTCTTTACAAATTATTTACAAGCACCAACTGTATGAATGTTTGTATTACCTGACACTTTATTATCATATTACAAATAAAAGTCAAGTTTATTGCAAACGCATTTGGCATTGTAAAAGTAAATATATAAATATAAGTTTTACTAATAAAATTTAAAAAAATATAATTATATTAATTTAACTATTATCATTATCATCACCTATTATAATATTTAAATAAGAATTAATGGCAGATAATACATCTACATCAAGTTTATCATCTAGATCTAATGTATCACTTGGTGGAAGACCTCCTGCGGAGGTTTGGAAACATTTTATTAAAGGAGACGAAATTGGTCCTGGAAAATATACTGCAGCTTGTAGTTATTGCAATGAATTTTTTTCTCTTGGAATGCCTTATAAAATGAAGAGCCATTTATCTAACCATTGTCCAACATGTCCTCGAGAAGTCAGGCGTTTTTATCTTAATAAGATATCTACTCTAAATAAGCCAACAAATAAAAAAGAATTGAACAACCTTGATACTACACAAATGACTTTATCAAAATTTTATGAAAGTACTGAACTTACTAAAGAAAGATATTGTAATATAAATAAATCACTTTTACGTTCATTTATTATGGCGGGTATTCCTTTTCATGCAGTAGAAAATCCATATTTTATAGAATTATTAAAACAATTGAGACCAGCTTATTCACCACCTTCCAGAAAAGTTTTGTCAGAACGTCTTCTTGATGAAGAAGTTGCTTATGTTAATAATAAAATCAATATAGACTTAGATAGCAAAAAAAACTTGACATTAGGTAAGATAAATATTTTGATATTTTTTTTTTTAATAAAATAATAATCACATTTATTTATTATTTTTTATTAGCAATTGATGGTTGGACCAATCCAAATCACAACTCAATTTGGAATTTCTTAATTCTAACCCCAGAAAAGAAACAATATCTTTATAAATTAGAAGATTTGTCAATGGATAGTCACACTGGTGAATATT